CGTCCCAGTGCATCCCAGTGCGTCCCAGTGTGCATCCCAGTGCATCCCAGAGCGCCCCAGAGCGTCCCAGTGCATCCCAATGCATCCCAATGCGTCCCAATGCGTCCCAGAGCGTCCCAATGCATTCCAATGCGTCACAGAGCGTCCCAGAGCATCCCAATGTGTCCCAGTGCATCCCAATGCACTCCAATGTGTCCCAGTGCATCCCAGTGCATCCCAGAGCGTCCCAGTGCGTCCCAATGCATCCCAGTGCATCCCAGTGCATCCCAGGGCATCCCAGTGCATCCCAGTGCATCCCAGAGCGTCCCAGAGTGTCCCAGTACATCCCATTGCATCCTGGGGCATCCCCATCTATCCCATCCCAGCACCAGCACCCACAGCACCATGCCCTTCTCCTGTGGGGTGGGGGCATCCCATAATATCCCACCCCATCCCATCCCATTCCATCCCTACCCCCACCCCATTTAATCTAATCCCTATCTCCATCCCCAGCCCATTCTACCCCATCCCACCCTACCCCATCCTCATCCCCATTCCCATCCCCATTCCCATCCCCATCCCACCCAGTCCATCCCACTCCACCCCATCTCAACCCCCGACCATTCCATCACACATGGAATGACAGTGACACACGTGTGACAATCCCATTTATCCCATCCCATCCCCATCCCATCCACCCCATCCCATTTATCACACCCCATCCCATCCCCATCCCATTTATCCCATCCCCATCCCATCCCAATTATCCCATCCTATCCCATTTATCCCAACCCATCCCATGTATCCCATCCCATCCATCCCCATCCCATCCTATTTATCCTATCCCCATCCCATGCCATCCCATCCCATTTATCCTATGTATCCCATCCATCCCCATCCCATCCCCATCCCATCCCATCAATTCCATCCCATTCATCCCCACCCCATTTATCCCATCCCATCCCCATCCCATCCCATTTATCCCATGTATCCCATCCATCCCCACCCCATTTATCCCATCCCATCCCATCTATCCCATTTATCCCATCCCATTTATCCCATGTATCCCATCCCATCCCCATCCCATGTACCCATCCCATCCCCATCTCATGTATCCATCCCATGTCCATCCATCCCATCCCATCCCACCCATCCCCATCCCATTTATCCCATTTATCCCATGTATCCCATCTCGTCCCCATCCCATGTATCCATCCCATCTCCATCCACCCCATTAATCCCATCTCCATCCCATCCCATTTATCCCATTTATCCCACCCCATTTATCCCATCCATCCCATTTATCCCATTTATCCCATCCCATTTATCCCACCCCATTTATCCCATCCCATCCCCACCCCATCCCATCCCATTTATCATTTATCCCACCCCATTTATCCCATCCCATTTATCCCATTTATCCCATTTATCCCACCCCATTTATCCCATCCCATTTATCCCATTTATCCCACCCCATTTATCCTATCTCCATCCCCATCCCATCCCCATCCCATCCCATCAATCCCATCCCATCCTATCCACCCCATTTATCCCACCCCATTTATCCATCCCATCCCATTTATCCCATTTATCCCATCCCATCCCATTTATCCCATGTATCCCATCCCATTCATCCCATTTATCCCATTTATCCCACCCCATTTATCCCATCTCCATCCCCATCCCATCCCCATCCCATCCCATCCCATCAATCCCATCCCATCCTATCCACCCCATTTATCCCATTTATCCCATCCCATCTCGTCCCCATCCCATGTATCCATCCCATCTCCATCCCATCCCATTTATCCCATTTATCCCATTTACCCCATCCCATTTATGCCATGTATCCCATCCATCCCCATCCCATTTATCCCATGTATCCCATCCCATCCATCCCCATCCCCACCCCAGGTCTCCCGCAGTCACCTCCAGGAACCGCTGGTGCGAGGGCTCCCCGGGCCGGGGCGGGTCCATGAGCGCCCCCATGAGGACCTGGGCGGGCACGGGCGGGCAGAGCCGAACCGCTGCCAGCTTCGAGAGCGCCTGCAGGGCCCCGGGGTGCGCGTTCACCGCCTCCACGAAACCCCCCCGGAACCCGCACCTGGAACGGGGGGGGGGGGGGGAAGGGACCCACATGTGGGGGGGGTGCCCATGGGGGGGGACCTATAGGGAGGGAGCCATGGGGGGGAACTGGGGATGGGAACCTATAGGGAGGGAGCCATGGGGGGAACCTATAGGGAGGGAGCCATGGGGGGACCTATAGGAAGGGAGCCATGGGGGGGACCTATAGGGAGGGAGCCATGGGGGGGACCTGGGGATGGGAACCTATAGGGAGGGAGCCATGGGGGGGAGCCAGGGATGGGAACCTATAGGGAGGGAGCCATGGGGGGAACCTATAGGGAGGGAGCCATGGGGGGGACCTGTAGGGAGGGAGCCATGGGGGGGACCTATAGGGAGGGAGCCATGGGGGGGACCTGTAGGGAAGGAGCCATGGGGGGGACCTGGGAATGGGAACCTATAGGGAGGGAGCCATGGGGGGAACCTATAGGGAGGGAGTCATGGGGGGGACCTGTAGGGAGGGAGCCATGGGGGGGACCTGTAGGGAGGGAGCCATGGGGGGAGCCGGGGATGGGAACCTATAGGGAGGGAGCCATGGGGGGAACCTATAGGGAGGGAGTCATGGGGGGGACCCGCGGGTGGGGGCTGAGATGGGGACCCATGGATAGGAACCTATAGAGAGGGAGGCATGGGGGGGACCTATAGGGAGGGAGCCATGGGGGGGACCTATACGGTCCCGTTGCATCATCAACCCCACCCTTGGACCCATGGACCCACAGCATCCCCATCCCCAGTCCATGACATCTATGGGGCCATGACATCCCCATCCCCAACCCATGACATCCATGGGGTGGTGGCATCATCATCCCCACCCCATGACATCCATGGGGTGGTGGCATCATCATCCCCACCCTTGGACCCACAGACCCATGACAAACCCATTCCCAACCCATAACATCCATGGGGCCACGACATCCCCATCCCTAACCCACGACATCCATGGGTTGGTGGCATCATCATCCCCACCCCACAACATCCATGGGGTGGTGGCATCATCATCCCCACCCTTGGACCCACAAACCCATGACAAACCCATTCCCAACCCATAACATCCATGGGGCCACGACATCCCCATCCCCAACCCATGACATCCATGGGGCCAAGACATCCCCATCCCCAACCCATGACATCCATGGGGTGGTGGCATCATCATCCCCACCCTTGGACCCACGGACCCATGACAAACCCATCCTCACCCTTGGACCCACAGCATCCCCATCCCCAACCCATGACATCCATGGGGCCATGACATCCCCATCCCGAACCCATGACATTCATGGGTTGGTGGCATCATCATCCCCACCCCACAACATCTATGGGGTGGTGGCATCATCATCCCCACCCCATGACATCTATGGGGTGGTGGCATCATCATCCCCACCCTTGGACCCACGGACCCATGACATCCCCATCCTCACCCTTGGACCCACAGCATCCCCATCCCCAACCCACGACCTCCACAAACCCGCTTGCACCCATTGGGTGATGCCATCACCATGCCCACCCCATAGGCGGCAGCAGTGGGGCGCTGGCCCCATGGCCATCACTCACTCGCCCGTGAAGCCCTTGGACAGGGAGTGGAAGGAGGCGAGCTCCACCGTGTCCGAGTAGGGCGGCCCCATCTCGAACAGCACCTTCTTGAAGGAGTGGAACTCAGCACCCTCGCCATAGACGTTGTCCTGGTAGACCTGGTGGGGGGGGTGACAAGGGGGTGGTTGTGGGGCAGGGGTGCGGGCTGAGCCCCCCACGTGTGGGGCGGGGGTGCCCCTGGGCCCCACTCGCCTCGTCGGCCATCAGGAAGAGCCGCTCCTCGTAGGCGAACTTGATGACGGCCTCGATGCACTCGCGGCTCTGGACCTGGCCTGGGGGCATCAATGGGGCGGAGGTTGCGGGTCCAGACCCAGAACTGGGCGGGATGAGGGGGGAGGGGGGGCCCAATCCAGCCCCCAGGGTCCCAGCTCTGGGGCTCCATCCCATGGGTCCCATCCCAGTTGATGGCTCCCATCCCAACCCATGGCTCCCATCACCAGGGGTCCCATCCCACCCTATGGATCCTATCACACCCTATGGATCCCATCCCCAGGGGTCCCAACCTATGGATCTCATCCCAACCCATGGCTCCCATCCTACCCTATGGATCCTATCACACCCTATGGATCCCATTCCAACCTATGGATCCCATCCCACCCTATGGATCCCATCCCACCCTATGGATCCCATCCCCAGGGGTCCCATCCCACCCTATGGATCCCATCACACCCTATGGATCCCATTCCAAACTATGGATCCCGTCCCACCCTATGGATCCCATCCCACCCTATGGATCCCATTCCAACCTATGGATCTCATCCCAACCCATGGCTCCCATCCTACCCTATGGATCCTATCACACCCTATGGATCCCATTCCAACCCATGGCTCCCATCCCACCCTATGGATCCCATCCCACCCTATGGATCCCATCCCCAGGGGTCCCATCCCACCCTATGGATCCCATCTCACCCTATGGACCCCATCCCATCCCTGGCATCCCATCCCACCCTATGGATCCCATTCCAACCTATGGATCCCATCCCACCCTATGGATCCCATCCCAACCTATGGATCCCATCCCACCCTATGGATCCCATCCCAACCCATGGCTCCCATCCCACCCTACGGCTCCCATCCCAACCCATGGCTCCCATCCCACCCTATGGATCCCATCCCACCCTATGGATTCCATCCCAGTTGATGGCTCCCAAACTATGGATCCCATCCCACCCTATGGCTCCCATCCCAGTTGATGGCTCCCATCCCAACCTATGGATCCCATCCCACCCTATGGACCCCATCCCACCCTATGGCTCCCATCCCACCCTATGGCTCCCATCCCACCCCATGGCTCCCATCCCACCCTATGGCTCCCATCCCACCCTATGGACCCCATCCCACCCTATGGATTCCATTCCAGTTGATGGCTCCCATCCCAACCCATGGCTCCCATCCCCCAGGGTCCCATCCCATCCCCTGTCTCTGATCCCCCCCCACCTCCCCCCATACCCGTGGGGTTCCCGGGGTTGATGACGCAGAGCACCCGGGGGCAGCTCCGCTCCCGTCCCTCCTCCAGCGCCCGCCGCAGCTCGGGCAGGTCCAGGGCCCAGCCCCGCTCCTCGTCCAGGTGGTACCCGAGGAACACGGCCTCGAGCTCCGCGATGGCGGCCCCATAGAGCGGGTACTGAGGCACCGGCACCAGCACCCCCGTGCGGGCCCGGCCAGAGCCCCACACCAGCAGCTTCAGCAGCGACTGCAATGGGAAACAATGGGGTGAGGATGGGGATGGGGGGGGACACAATGGGGTGGGGATGGGGATGGGGGGGACAATGGGGTGCGGGGTGGGGATGGGGGACACAATGGGGTGGGGATGGGGGGACACAATGGGGGGGATGGGGATGGGGGGGACACAGTGGGGTGGGGATGGGGATGGGGGGGACACAATGGGGTGGGGATGGGGGGACAATGGGGTGGGGATGGGGGGGACACAATGGGGTGGGGATGGGGAATGGGGGGTGCACAATGGGACACAAATGGGGGGGGATGGGGAGGGGGGATGGGAAAGGGGGGGACACAATGGGGTGGGCATGGGAATGGGGGGACAATGGGGGGGATGGGGATGGGGGAGACACAATGGGGGACACAATGGGGTGGGGATGGGGTAGGGGTGGCAATGGGACACAATGGGGTGAGGATGGGGGACACAATGTGGTGGACATGGGGAGGGTGAGGAACAGCCTGGGATGGGGATGGGAACGGGACACAATGGGGTGGGCATGGGGATGGGGGGGACATAGAGGGCATGGGCATGGGGCCAGGGCTGCTGGGGCACTGGGGTGGCCATGGGGACATTATGGGATGGGGATGGATGTTGTGAGGACAGCAAGGGGGGGGCCATGGGGACAGGGAGGGGACAGCGCAGAGGGGGCATGGGGTGGTGAGGGTATGGGGCATGGGCATGGGGACATGGCTGGGGTGGGCATGGGGACAATGGGGGCACAATGGGGTGGCCATGGGGACAATGGGGGCACAATGGGGTGGCCATGGGGACAATGGGGGCACAATGGGGTGGCCATGGGGACAATGGGGGTCACAATGGGGTGGCCATGGGGTGGGAAAGGAGGGGACACAATGGGGGTCACAATGGGGTGGCAATGGGACACAATGGGGTGAGGAACAGCCTGGGATGGGGGGTGGGGTGGGCCATGGGTCACAATGGGGTGGCCATGGGGGCACAATGGGGGTCACAATGGGGTGGCCATGGGGGCACAATGGGGTGGCCATGGGGACAATGGGGGTCACAATGGGGTGGCCATGGGGGCACAATGGGGGTCACAATGGGGTGGCCATGGGGACAATGGGGTGGCCATGGGGTCAATGGGGGTCACAATGGGGTGGCCATGGGGACAATGGGGGTCACAATGGGGTGGCCATGGGGACAATGGGGGTCACAATGGGGTGGCCATGGGGACAATGGGGGGCACAATGGGGTGGCCATGGGGACAATGGGGGGCACAATGGGGTGGCAAAGGGAGCACTGGGGGGACAATGGGGTGGCCATGCGGACAATGGGGGGCACAATGGGGTGGCCATGGGGTCACAATGGGGTGGCCATGGGGGCATGGGGTGGCCAATGGGGGTCACAATGGGGTGGCCATGGGGTCAATGGGGGTCACAATGGGGTCAATAGGGGCACAATGGGGTGGCCATGGGGTCAATGGGGGTCACAATGGGGTGGCCATGGGGACAATGGGGTCACAATGGGGTGGCCATGGGGGACAATGGGGGGCACAATGGGGGGTCAATGGGGGTCACAATGGGGTGGCCATGGGGACAATGGGGGTCACAATGGGGTCGCCAGGGGGTCAATCGGGCTCACAATGGGGTGGCCATTGGGGCACAATGGGGTGGCCATGGGGGCACAAGGGGGGTCACAGTGGGGTGGCCAGGGGGACAATGGGGGTCACAATGGGGTGGCCATGGGGACAATGGGGGGCACAATGGGGTGGCCATGGGGACAATGGGGGTCACAATGGGGTGGCCATGGGGAAAATGGGGCGGCCATGGGGGCAATGGGGGTCACAATGGGGTGGCCATGGGGTCAATGGGGGTCACAATGGGGTGGCCATGGGGGCACAATGGGGTGGCCATGGGGGCACAATGGGGGTCACAATGGGGTGGCCATGGGGTCACAATGGGGTGGCCATGGGGACAATGGGGTCACAATGGGGTGGCCATGGGGACAATGGGGGCACAATGGGGTGGCCATGGGGACAATGGGGGCACAATGGGGTGGCCATGGGGACAATGGGGTGG